CACCCCGCCCCGCCAATCACACCACACCCCACCCCACCAATCACACGACACCCCGCCCCGCCAATCACACCACGGCTCCGATCAATCACACCACACCCCACCCTCCCACCAATCACACCACGCCTCCCGTCATCACCACCACGGCCCCAAGGCCCACAGACACGCCCCTTGTGGCCGTGGGTAATTACACAGTCCAGAACGGGTCCACCATTTGCCTACGGCTGGAAGCGGGTCTCCAGGTCCAAGTGCAATACACCAGCAAGGCCAAGCAACTGGTAAGCACTGGGCGGGAGGCGGGCGGGCGGGTTGACAGCTCAAGAGGGGAGCCGGAGCAGCGAGGGAGGGAGGGGCACCCGGGGCCAAGCGAGGGATGCCAGGAGCCGGGCACTCAGGCTGGGATGCCACAGGCTCTGGGCCAGAGTGGGTCAGCGGGTGGGGCCCAGGGCTTCCGCCGGGACCCCCTGCCCCTGACATTTTGCCCACATGTCTGCCCCGTCACTGACCAGTGTGCTCCCTTGTCTGCGTGGGACTCCACCACCCACCCATGCCACATGCAGTGCCCAGCACATGGGGTTGCCAGCCTCCAGGTGGGGCCTGGACATTTCCTGGCATTACAACTCATTTCCAGGCTGTAGAGAGCCGTTCCCTCGGAGAAAACGGCTGCCTGGCAGGGTGGGCCTCTACATCCCACCGAGGTCCCTTCCCCAAACCCGACCCTCCCCGGGCTCCACCCCCAAATCCCCAGCCCTTTCTCAGCCTGGACCTGGCAACCCACGGCAGAGCAGCGGTGCCATCCGGGAAGGGGCCTGCGGAAGAGCTGGCGGGCAAAGGAAGGACGCTGACGCAGGGGGTGGCAGGGAGGGAGACGCGGGGGGGGGGGGGGGGGGGGAGGGCCCTCTGTGCCTGGAAGGGGGGCCTCTGACCTTCTCTCCCTCTCTCTCCCTCCACCAGCTCTGGGGCACCTTTGCGGTGCAGCCCAGCCACACCCACGCGTCAGGGGCCTGCTCCAACGAGACCGCCATGCTCCGGCTGCACTTCCCGGAGGGCTTCCTCCTCTTCGTCTTCAAAAAGGTACCCGGAGAGACGGGGAGGAAGCAGAGGGCAGACTCCACCACAGCCAGGTCGCTGGCACCGGGGCGCGGCCAGGATGGCTTGGCCGAATCTCCGGCTGCTGATGGGACCGTGAGTGGCTGGTGCCTCCAGAAGGGCAGGGGGAGCACCGGCGGCCTGGCCCACCGCAGCGCCTGTGAACATCTCCTTCCGTCTCTTCGCCTACCAGATTTCTGGCCCACCTGTCCCAACAAGACTCACGGCCTATTGAGGGGAGGGGCCGTGGAGGCCCAGGGGCGGAGCCTCTGCTGGGCGGGCAGAAGGTCCCAGGGTCCATCCCCGGCAGCACCTCCAGTTACAAGGGAGGGGCCCTGAGAAACCCTGGAGAGCGGCTGCCAGCCAGAGCAGACAATACCGACTTCGATGGACCCAGGGCCTGGCTCAACGGAAGGCAGCTTCAAGTGTGGGCCTGCTTACCTTTCACACGCGGTTTCTGGGGAGGGGCTGTGGCTCTGTAGCGGAGCCTCTGCTCAGCGGGCAGAAGGTCCCGGGTTCAATCCCCGGCATCCCCAGCTAATAGGGTCAGCTAGGAGGTGGTGGGAAAGAACTTTCTCTGCCTGAGACCCTGGAGAGCCCCTGCCAGCTCGTGCAGGCAGGACGGACTTTGGTGGTCTGATTCAGCACAAGGAGGCTTCATGTGTCCATATGGCAAGAGCCAGTTGGGTGTCATGGTTGGAGCACGGGCTCTGATCTGGGAGAACCGGGTTTGGTTCCCCACTCCTCCACTTGCAGCCAGCTGGGGGGACCTTGGGTCAGTCATAAGTTCTTTCAGAGCTGTTCTCTCAAGGGCAGTTCTCTCGAGAGAGAGAGGTCTCTCAGCCCCACCTGCCTCACAGGCTGTGTTCCCTCTAAGCTGAGTTAGTGTCAGCCAGCTCACAGTTTTTTAGCCTCCGGCTCACACATTTTTGCCTCAGCTCAGGAAGGAGGGCTCCGGGGCAAACTAACTGATGCAGGAGCCAAATCGCTGGATCACAGCTTTAATGCCAGGAGCTCACAAAGTAGAATTTCTGCTCACAAGACTCCACAGCTTAGAGGGAGCATTGCTCACAAGGTGTCTGTTGTGGGGAGGGGAAGGGAAAGGCGATTGTAAGCCACTCTGAGACTCCTTTGGGTAGTGAAGGGCCATGGGGGATAAATCCAATCTCTTCTTCTCTTTTCCAAAACATAACAGCCAGCAATAACAATATGGAGGTTTCTTTCAGCAGTCATGGGGGCCTTTCATAGTCATGAAAGCTAATGGCCTTCACTGCACCTTGTGGCAGTGAGTTCCACACCTCCATGGTATCGTAGGAAGTGCCTCCCACTTGTCCCTCTTGAATGCCCTGCCAGTCACTTTCACCGGGAGGCCCTGACGTCTTAGGATGAGAGGAAAACCCCCAGCAGACCAGGCAGGCCGGAGACAGCTCCCTTGCCCCAGTGAAGGCCCACGCCCTGCACGACTTCTTCACCCTCCCCCGGCCCCCCAGGCACCATCCAGCGCTGGACTCCTACGGGCAAAAGACATTCTCTAAAGGGGGGGGGAATTGCGCAAAGGTGCTTAGTCGGCATCTCCGCAGCAACACTTCCCCTTTCTTGGCACAGAGTCTGGGGACGTTTTTTACAGGCACGCTGACTCAGTGCAATGGAATGGCCTGAGAGGCCTGCCGCCAGGGAGGCGGGTGTCCAGGGGGTGACTCCGAGGAGGTGGATCCAGGCTGGGGTCACGGGGCAAACCGACCCCTTTCCTTCCCCATCAGGGCTTACCAAAATCTAACACCCCCCCCCGGCCCCCATTCCCCTCTGAGGCTCCCCGGCCACACCCAAAAACCTGCTCCACCACCACCCAAAAAACCCACACACAACACCATTCCAGCTTGAAGCTGAGTCGGGCACGGGGGCATGGGAAGTTCGTCTGACTGGCGGAGAGAGAAGGAGTCCAGGCTGACTCACTCGCTGGAGGCCTCGGAAGCGGCTCTGAGTCCACAGCTGGAAGGGCCAGTTTGGCAGGCTGCCACGGCTCAGCCCAGAGGTCTGGCGCGGCGCCCCTCGGCACAGGCCACTCCGAGCAGCAATGCCTCCTGGGTTCGGGCTGCCAGGGATCCTGACTCTCGGGGCCAGTGTTGCCCAGGGGGGCTGCTGTTTCCCCGCCATGATTTTTTGCCCCCTGAATGTATCCAGGGGCTTAAAATCCAAATTCCCCACGGAGAGGGCCAGGACCCAGTGGAAGGGCCTCTGCTTGGCATGCAGAAGGTCCCTGGTCCAATCCCCGGCATCTCCGGTTAAAAAGGGCCAGGCAATAGGGCATGTGGAAGACCTCTTCTGCCCGAGACCCTGGAGAGAGAGCCACTGCCAGCCTGAGTAGACAAAACTGACCTTGATGGACCCAGGTCAGTTTTGTAGGACCCAGGTCTACTGATGATTCAGGAGAAGCCAGCTTCCTGTATCTCTCCCTCCTCCCCCTGAACGTCCGGCCTGTCTGTATTTCCCCCAGGGAGCCAGTTTGGTGCCGTGGTGAGGTGCGCGGACTCTAATCTGGGAGAACCGGGTTGGATTCCCCACGCCTCCTCCACCCGCAGCTGCTGGATGACCTTGGGCAAACCGTAGTTCTGACAAGAGCTGTCCTTGAAAAAGAGCGGTCTCTCTCGGCCCCACCTACCTCACAGGGTGTCTGTTGTGGGGAGGGGAAGGGAAAGGAGTGAGACTCTGAGTGAAGGGCAAGGGGTAGAAATCCAATCTCCTCCTCCTCCTGGACTGGGCCTGCCATCGGCACACCTCTCCTCCGCTGCTCAGCCCCACGGGGGTAAGGCTCTCTTCCGAGGGCAGCTCACAACACTGCTCGCTTCCTAGCACTTGATGGTCAGCGTCCCGCGTATGGAAACCCAGATTTCTTTCCTGCAGAACGAAACCAAAGGGATGGCTTACCTGAGCAGAGTCCAGGCCAACCTGACCTACCAGTTCCTACAGGCAACAGGTGAGCTTCTTTTGGGGGAGGGGGTGTGAGTCGAAGGCGCCCCCACCCTTTGTTGCAAATGAGAGACCTCTCCGAGATGGATGACGTTCTGCCTGGCCTGGGGAAACGCCCGGCACGAGGAGGAGGCTTTTGTGCCACTCACGTAGAGCAGAAGGGGTAAGAAGAACTGTAGCGGCGCAGAACAGTCGAGGAGGGTCAGGGTGCCTTTTGGGTTACGATTGCCGCCTGCTGCGAGGACGGGGCTGGGTACCTGCCTGCTTCAACTGCCTTGTCTTCTGCGTTTGTAACGCCACGATACCCCGTGCGAAGGCAGTCTGTGGTTCCCACGGCCTTCGGATCCAGTCATCCCGGTCCAAATCCATTGTTCGTTGGCTGTCTTGGGCTGACAGATTGAGAACATCGGAAGAGCCCTGCTGGCTCAGACCAAGAGTCCACCTGGTCCAGCCTCCTGCCTCACGCGGCGGCCAGCCAGGTCCTCCGGAGGGCCAACAGCACCTCTTGCATTTTTTCTTTTAAATGCCATAATCCGCCTTCAGTCTCAATGAGAAAGGGTGGGTGATAAATGAAATAAATACAGGCCAAGGCCAGGGAAAAGCCTGAGGATTGGGGCGCAGAGAGGCAGGCGGCTGGCCATGGGTGGTGGGCATGAGCTTCTCCTTTGGCCCTCGGCTGCTGGACGTTCAGTCACCAGCATCATCAGCTAAGTGACCTGCCCTCCCGTAGAAACAGCTCAGGGGCTGAACTGTGCTTAAGGGCAAGGCCCCCCCTGCTGGTCTCCACCCAGTTGTTAGGGCTCCGAGTTGGATGCCGGCTCTGCCTGTTCCCAGGGGGAGCCGAAAAATCTGCCCATTTTGCTTCAACATTGTGTGTGTGCGTGTGCGCACCCGTGTGCATGGGGTGGGGGGAGATGTCGTTCTATTCTGGAAGAATCCTAAATTCCGGCTTTCCCCCCATTTCTGCCCCTTTTGCACATTTAAATGGAGGCTCAAAGGTTGAAGAACCTCAACAAGGCCAGAAAAATCTCCTTTGTGCAGAGGAGGCCAGAAAAATCTCCTTTGTGCAGAGGGCGAACCGACTGTGGCAAGGACCGGTCACCCTCGATCCTCACAATGACCCTGTCGTGTGGGGCCAGGCTGAGAGATTTCCTGGAAGCTCCTGGGAGAGTTTCTTAAGAGGGGACCCCCAGGCGCAAGGCCAAATGAGCCATATACACATAACACATCAAAGTTGGGTAGAAAAAAATACATCAGACTATAAAATGATAATGTAAGCAATAAAAATATCAGTTTCTTACACTGAATCCTATACTCTTTCTAAAGTAAAGGTAAAGGTTTCCCTTGCTCGAAAGCCAGTCAAATCCAACTCTAGGGTTGCGGTGCTCATCTCCGTTTCCAAGGCGAAGAGCCAGCACTGTCCAAAGACGTTTCCATGGTCATGTGGCCGGCATGACTAGACGCTGAGGCGTCTAATTTTTCTTGTTGCTAAGGCAAACCACGCCATTCTACTAGAGACATAATGATCAAGGTCTGAGAGTAAAGATTTGACCAAATCCAGATCGGAAGGTCCATTACACGGCAGAATAATGGGGATGATATACTTTAACCTAGGAGCTTCATGCCACAGGCGTCTCAGAATATCATGTACTATATCTACTTCCCCCAAGTTACAAAAACAAAATCTGAGGGGGGCAGGAATTCCAAGGAAATGTCCAGTCATCACATCTTGATCGATAAGCCCATTCCTTCAATTCCCGTACTTGATTTTTTTTCTTTAATAGATCATCAGGAATTGAAAATTTCAATTGAACTGAAGCCAAATGATCACCTCATCTCTTAGAGGAGTTCAGGAGCAAACTAAAACTTAACCCACCCACCCCCCAGGGAATCCTGGGGTCGTTTTAAACATTTTCTCCAATAGGATAAAATTCTAACATTGACTCTGGCATTCAACGAGCTAATTCCCAGTTCAGCCCTCACTGGTGTCACCGGCACACCTCTTGGGAAGGCGAGAATCTGCCTCATAAAATGATTCTGTACTATTTCTAATGAGGACAATGTCTGGTCTCCCCAGCCCCAGATCTCTGATCCATATAGCATGGCTGGAATTCTCTTACTCCCGTACAGTTTAAGAACTGGGTCTACCATGCCTCCTCCCTTAGAAAAGTAGAACTTCAGCAGAGCCCCCAAATTCTTCATGGTGTGAGTTTCCGAAAAGGTTAAACCCAGATATTATTTATACATGCTGCATTGTTTGATCTGAGTGCCAAGACTGCTCCAGGTAGACTTCTTTGGGCGTTTCCTGAAAAACAGAACTTTTGATTTGGCGTAATTTATTCGCAAGCCTTCCCCATTGCAGTACGACTCACCCAATTTCATCAGGAGTCTCCTCAAGCGTGTCTTGGTTAAGGACAGAAGGACCCTGTCATCTGCATAGACAGAAGGACTGGAACCTTATGTTGTCCAATGGCCGGCGCCATATACTCACTACCTTCTAAACTAGCTATTATGTCATTTAGATACCAATTAAACAGAGTGTGTGTGTGTGTGGGGGGGGGTGCTGCAGTGGAAGCTGCTGCCAAATAAACATTTTTTAAAATCCGCACAGCCAATCATAAGCTTCACTGGGGGGGAACCCTATCAAACGCCTTGCTAAAAACACGTGGTGGGCACTGGAACTGGTGTCAGCAAGCACCACGCAGCCCATGATGGGCACCACGTTGGGGGCCCCTGCGCAGACTGTATCCTGCACTGAATCAGGTATTCACAGGTAGATGTGCTGGAAAAGGTAAGCGGAGCGCCATGGGGCCTGCCCATGGGGCCTGGAATCCAGCCGGCGGACGAGTTTTAAGCCAGAGTGCCGTGCCTCAGGGCCTCCCTTTCTCCCCTCAGAGACATCCTTCGGAGCAGATTCTTCCTCCCTCCAAGAGTTTGAGGCCTCCCTCGGACACAGCTACCAGTGCCGGAACCGCACTCTGACCCTCGCTGGAGACTTCCGCCTTCATGTCCTGAACGAACATGTCCAAGCCTTCGAGCTGCACGATGGGAAATTTGGGGAAGGTAAGACAACCACCATCGTACGGCATCATAAGAACATAAGAACATAAGAGACGCCAATGTTGGATCAGGCCAAAGGCCCATCCAGTCCAACACTCTGTGTCACACAGTGGCCAGAAATACCAGTGCCATCAGGAGGTCCAGCAGTGGGGCCAGGACATTAGAAGCCCTCCCACTGTTGACCCCCCCCCAAGCACCAAGAAGACAGAGCATCACTTGCCCCAGAGCCCCTAGCTATACCTTGTGGCTAATAGCCACTGATGGACCTCTGCTCCATATGCTTATCTAATTCCCTTTTGAAGCTGTCCATGCTTGTAGCACCCACCACTTCCTGTGGCAGTGAATTCCATGTGTTAATCACTCTTTGGGTGAAGAAGTACTTCCTTTTATCCGTTCTAACCCGACCGCTCTGCAGTTTCATGGAGTGCCCACGAGTTCTTGTATTGTGAGAAAGGGAGAAAAGTACCTCTTTCTTTACCTGCTCTTTCCCATGCATAATCTTATAAACCTCGATCATGTCACCCCTCAGTCGTCTTTTCTCCAAGCTAAAGAGCCCTAAGCGCTTTAACCTTTCCTCATAGGGAAAGTGTTCCAACCCTTTTATCATTCGAGTTGCCCTTTTCTGCACTTTTTCCAAAGCTATAATATCTTTTTTAAGGTGTGGTGCCCAGAACTGCACACAGTATTCCAAATGAGGTCTCACCATTGATTTATATAGGGGCATTATTATATTGGCTGATCTGTTTTCAATACCCTTCCTAATAATCCCCAGCATAGCATTGGCCTTCTTTATTGCAGTCACACACTGTCTCGACATTTTCAGTGAGTTATCCACTACAACTCCAAGATCTCTCTCTTGCTCAGTCTCTGCCAGTTCAGACCCCATCAATGTGTATTTATATTTAGGATTTTTGGCTCCAATGTGCATCACCTTGCACTTGGCCACATTGAACCCCATTTGCCATGTTGACGCCCACTCGCCCATCCTTGACAGATCCCCTTGGAGTGCCTCACAATCCTCACTGGTTTTCACCACCCTGAACAACTTTGTATCATCCGCAGATTTAGCCACTTCGTCTTTGAAAGGCCGCATATACTCACAAGGGGTGAGTTTCCCCCTCGTGCGCAGTCTCTTGCGCTGATGCTTGGTGGTGGCAGAAAGCCCCCTCAGGCCACAGCCAGCTTACGGCCACCCCTCGTGGGGTATTCAAGGCAAGAGACGTTCAGAGGTGAAGCAGCCCTGGACCTCCCGGGGAGGGGGGGGGTCTCCCATCCAAATACTGAGCAGCGCTGGTACTGCTTCGCTTCCGAGATCTGACAGGGCCGCCCTCGCCTGCGCCGTTCAAGTCAGGGTGCTCTGATGCTTCGCCATCGCTCAACACATCTCCTGGAATCCCCCGCAGAACTTGTGGGATTTTTCTTCTGCCTTCGATTTCCACACGCATCCCGGCATCGAAAATACTCCATCCTGTCAGAGAGGTCGAGGTCACTCCGTTCTTCCCAAGCCACCCGGCAACCTTCAAGTCTATCTCAACGGCTAAACTGTGACTTCTCCCCCATGGCCTCAGGTCCTGCTCCCGGCCTGACCTTTAACCCAATCACAGAAGCCCGTCTTTGACCACTGACTCTCCTCTCCACCAGCAGCTCCTTGCTTGGCAGCCCCTCTTTCCCCCTCACGCACAGACCGGCCTTCCCACGGCCGCCATTTTGAAAACCCAGCCATCAGCCAGAGGGGAAGCTTCCATCCCCTTGACCCGCCTTCCCTTTCCCTGACGCCTTTGTTCCTCTTTCAGCCGAAGTCTGTCAGGAGCAGCGACGTTCCATCCTCGTGCCCATCATCGTGTTTGTGATTATTGCTGTTCTCGTCATCGTTGTCCTCGTGGCTTATGTGGTGGGACGGAGGCGGAGCCACGTGGGCTATGAAACCATCTAAGGAGCCTTGGCAGCACGCAGCAGCCGACGGAACGTCACCTTGGCTGAAGGAAGAGGGAAGAACCGGATCTGTGCCCCTCTCTTGCAGTGAGGCAAAGATAACTTCAGGGAATACCGTTTGGCTCCAGGCACCCCAGCTGCTAAATGCACCCCGATTTTGTATGTGTTGCTTAGACTGACGATTCAAAGAACTGCGGGAAGAAAGGAAGCAGAATGTATGCTTTTGTGTGTGAGGGTGGGTGGGGAGATGAAATCGTGTGTACGTCAAGCGATCCAAAGCCGCCGTCCGTTCAGAAATAAACAAGACGCTCTGGCTGTCATGGGCTTGATCCTTCCAGTGGACAGATAAGGGACAAGTGTAACCGCCTGACCTGTTGCAGGGCTACACAGAAGTCAGTCCTACCGAGATCACCGGGGTCTACTCCCAAGTAAGCATGCACAGGGCTGCCGGTACTGATCCTTTGCACACTTACCTGCCAGTAAGCCCTGCTGCACAAACTTGAGGAGAGCTTCTGTGTGAATGTGAACAGGACTGGGCGGTGCTGGCGTGCCCCTGGGTGGGACTCAGCAAATCACAAGAGGCCGGAATTGCTGCTCAAGGCTCCCTCTCAGCTGTGGAGTCCTGTGAGCAAAAATTCTGCTTTGTGAGCTACTGGCATTACAAGGTGTGAGCGAGCGATTTGGTTCCTGCATGAATTAGTCTGCTCTGGAGCCATCTTTCCTGAGCTAAGACAAAAATGTGTTAGCCGGAGGCTAAAAAACTTTGAGCTAGCTCACACTAACTCAGCTTAGAGGGAACACTGCTCTGGAGCCCTCCTTCTTGAGCTAAGACACAAATGTGTTAGCCGGATGCTAAAAAACTTTGAGCTAGCTCACACTAACTCAGCTTAGAGGGAACACTGCTCTGGGGCCCTCCTTCCTGAGCTAAGACAAAAATGTGTGAGCCGGGGGCTAAAACACTGTGAGCTAGCTCACAGAAACTGAGTTTAGAGGGAACACTGGTCATCCAGAGCTCTTCATCTGTTCTGTTCTGGTGATGGGGAGGGGGGCTTGGAAGAGGGAGAGAGATCCACTAGCTACGCAGAGAAGTCACCAAAGGCCTTGAAACAGGGCAGGCACATTCTCCAAAGGGGATAAAGAGATAACGTGTCAACAGTGGGAGGGCGGGGCGGCAGAGAAATGGCTGGAATTCTCTCCCCGAGGTAGCCGGATGATGCCTGCTGTTCTGTTAAGTTTTGTTCCCAAGCTCTCGAGAGTTGATTTTGGAAAAATGCTCCTTGCCTTTCTTTACTAGCACACCTGTCTGTTTATAACAACGCTGGGTTTTAATTGTATTTTGTACTAGATGACCTCTGGCTTTGAGTATTTCTTTTTTGCAAGTCACATTCAGGGTTTCTTCCTTTTTTTTCCCAAGCCAAGAAACAGAAAATGAATAGAACATCGTCTATAATAATAGCTGGCTTTTATGCCCATCTTTCAGGGTGTCAGAACACTTTGCGTACAGTCTTTTGTTGGCATCCTTACCACAGCCCTGTCAGGTAGGCCAAGGTAAAGGGCAAAGGCTGGGAGAGGAAGAAGAAGAGATTGGATTTATACCCTCCCCTTCACTACCCAAGGGAGTCTCAGTGTGGCTTAAAATCTCCTTTCCCTTCCCCTCCCCACAACAGACACCCTCTGTGAGGGAGGTGCGGCTGAGAGAGCTCTGATAGAAGCAGCTCTTTTTCAAGGACAGCTCTGAGAGAACTTGTGACTGACCCAAGGTCATCCAGCAGCTGCATGTGGAGGAGTGGGGAATCCAACCCGATTCTCCCAGATAAGAGTCCGCACACTTCACCACGACACCAAACTGGCTCCTAACGACTACACCAAACTGGAGGAATGGTTTGCTTAAGGCTGCTGAATGAGTTTGCGTCCGAGGGAAGATCTGAACGGGGAACTCATAGCTCAAGTCTTTAGAACGCAACATCAGCTGGGAAAAGAAATAATTCTCTAAGGACAAAGGGAGATCTCGAAACATAAAGAACAAAGGGAATCACTGGGGGGGGGGTCAGTGAGAGGTACCCAGCACCCCAGTGGGGGGATCTTCCCACACCTCCGCCCTGTGCCCTCCCCAGCTTCTTAGCCCCACATCCTGCCTGGCCCACACATATCTTAAAGCTTGTCTTTAAAGGAGCGGAAACTTTTATTTTCATTAACAACTGCCACACTTGGGCCAGCTGGGGTCCAGACGTTCCCTCCCCTAATTCTCACACCGCAAGCTCTGGTTCTAGAACAGCGGTCGTCAGCACACGCACAGAGGCCCTAGCGGTCTCCAGTGCTCCAGTCAGAATGGCTCCACTTAACCCAGGAAAGCAAGAAAGTAAAAAATGTGGACTGGGCAGCTCCTGCTCTGAGGACGGAACCTTTGGCAGGGCAGTGCTCTGTACCCCCCCTCCTGGCGCCCCTGCCCCCAAACCCCCCTGACATTTCGAGGATCCTGCTGTTGGTCTTCTACCTGCAGTTCCTTTGTTATACTGGGGGGGGGGGAATCAGGGGGCAGTGCTGGCCTCAAGGAGTCGGGGACACAAACTAGGTAAGAGGCGAGCTTCTAATGGGATCAGCGCGACGGAGGAAAGTGCAACCGCTAGACTGGAGTCCAGAAGCATCTTAGAGAACTACCAGGAGCCCCCCCCCAAGCCCTTCTACGTCCGAGTCGGAAGGGGGGGTGGGGGTCTGGCAGAGAAGGGACTCCGGAAGCAGAGGTACCGTGCAGAGTGTCGTCAGCTTGAACAGAGCAAGGGAGAAATGCTTAGGGGGAGCACTTCTCCTCTGCTCTTATCTAAGGCGCTACCAGGTTCAAATCTACCTGCTGGACTGCAAGACAGCATGGCCACCCCCTGGAGTGATCTCCCCAGAGGAAAGGGCAGGCCTTCGCATTCCACAGAGGCCTCTCTTCCTGCTGCTGCAAACCTCCGCCACCGGCAGGCTGCCACGGCTACCTAAGTCCGTTGAAAGTCATCGCTCGAACTGGCCCCGTAGCCTTAGTTCTTCCAGTCAGCCCCTTAGGGCTGAGGTCAGCGCGTCCCGGATCTCCACCGCCTCCACGTCTTCCTCCTCGCCGTCCTCGAACGGGTGTTCCTCCGGCTGCTCTTCTTCGTCTTCCATCCAGCCCGACTGGAAGACGTCGCCCCGGGCCTCACAGACATTGTGGAGAGTGCAGCAGGCGGCAATGAGGGTGGGCAGAAAGGAGACATCGGTATCGTTGCGCTTGGTGAGGCAGCGCCAGCGCCCACGCAAGCGTCCAAAGGCCACCCCGACGACTGTCCGTGCAGCAGCCGCATACTCGTTGAAGCGCTGCTGGGCTGGTGTGAGAATGGCGTTGCGATAGGGACGCATGAGCCAAGGGAGGAAAGGGTATGAGCGGCTGCCCAGCAGGTAGACAGGCACCTGGACTCCCCTGACGGGCTGGGACGCTCCTGGGAACAGGTCACCCTCTTGGGCTCGTTGATACAGCTCAGACGTGCACAGGACTTGGGGCTCCGTTACCCTTCCAGGGCACCCAACGTTGATATCCCAGAAACAGCCACGGGAATCCACCGCCGCCTGCACCACCACAGAATGCCAGCCATGGCGGTTGTAGTAACCAGCGGCGTTTTCGTTGGGTGCGCGGATGGGTATGTGGAGGGATCCCAAGACACCGGCCAACTGGGGCAAGGGAAAGCCGTTCCCCGCAGCCACTTCCGCAGGGTCAGGAGGACGCACGTACAACGGCGTCAGGATGGCCACAACAGCTTCGCAGACGTCACGCAGGATCTTGCAGACGGTGGAGCGTGACACGCCAAAGAGCTGCTCGACGGCCCGGTACTCAGTGCAGGCTCCCAGGCGCCAGAGGGTCATGGCAAGGCGCACGTCAGCTGGGATGGCACGGCGCATGTTAGTGTCCCGGCGCTGAATGGCGTTTCGCAACTGGGCACAGAGGTAGTCGAAGGTGCCAGGAGCCACACGGAAGTTCTCAACCCACTCCCACTGGCTGAATGCTTTGGCTCGCACGGTCTCCCAGAAGGCCGAGCTCCGGGCTTTGCTCCACAAGCGCCGTTCGCGTAGCAAGCGTGGCAGGCTGCCCCCTCCGCCACGGGTCTCCTGGCAGAACCCGGCTGTGCTCGGGCCTTCTCGTGCCAGTGCCCGACAGAGCCACAGCAAGGCGAAGCGTTGGCGTGACCGAGCCTGGGCCCGGTGGTGCCTGGCAACCCTATGCCGGCGGGCAGCTTCTCGCAGGCGTCGTCCTCGCTGCAGGCGGGTGTAGTAGAGGAGACACAGGGCCACCGTGCCACGGCTGAGCGTGGACAGCAGCTGAGCTTCCTGGCTGTGGCTGGTGGTGGTCCAAGATGGCTGCTGAGAAGAGGCAGCCATTTTGCTCCTTGGCCAAACTGAGCGGGGGGGGGGAGAGGGGCCAGAGCGGAAGACGGAATGCGCACGCGCCCAGGCGGCCTTGCCTCACAGCGTCCCCAGCGCGCAAGCGCAATCTCCCCGGTGACGTCCATACCCGCTTTATGCAGAGCGCGCATGCGTATCCCGACAAAGCGGCCTACTTGCAAATAAAGTGGGCGGCCGGGTGTGGAATTGTCCGCCCGGACGGCTTCTGAGCATGCGCAGAGATCTCGGCGACCTGTCAGGGCGCATGAGCGCGGGGTGTGGCGAGATGGAGGCGGGCGTTTCTTCGCCCACTTGTGTCTCTTCGCTTGCCAAAATGGCGTCGGTGGCGCTGAAGGGCCTGCTGGTCCCTCATCTCCTTCCCGAAAACTGCTACGACGAGCTGTTCCTGCGCTTCAATTTCTTGCATAGTGAGTCTCTTCCCCCCACCACCACTTCCTGCGGCCGAGCGTAGCGCCGTCGCTATGGCAACACCTCCGGCTGTGCAGAAGAGCAGTTGGCTGCCATCTTGGGTGAAGGCGGAAAAAGGCGCTCGCCACTTCCGCGCTCGAGAAGCAAGTGGGCCGGAGACCACGATGGTGGCGGGTGGAAGTGACGCGGTAGCCCTTTCCGCCATGTTAGAATTGGGCGGAAGTGTCCCGAGGCTTCCCCTTTTTTTTAACGTTTAATTTTATCTTGCAACTCATTAATAATAATTAAAATCACAATTGCGTGCCTTCCGGTTTGACCCGGCTTATGGCGGCCCCCTCATGAGGTTTTCAAGGCAGAAGTGGTTTTCCAGTGCCCGCTTCTGTGTGGCCTTCCTCCTGGGTGGTCTCCTCCAAGGCTCCCTCTAAGCTGTGTGGAGTCTTGAGAGCAACAATTCTACTTTGTCAGCTGCTGGCATTAAAGTTGTGAGCGAGGCATCTGGCTGCTGCATAAATTATTTTGCTCTGGAAGTCTTCCTTCTTGAGCCCAGACAAAAATGTGTGAGCTGGAGGCTAAAAAATTGTGAGCTAGCTCACACTAACTCAGCTTAGAGGGAACACCATCCAATAAAACTGATGAGATTCAGGATGGACGAAAGTAAATAACATATTTACACAGGAAGTGAATAAATATGGGATTCACTGCCAGAGCGTGTAGTGATGGCCACAGGCATACATGGGTTTAAAAGGGGGTTAGACAGATTCATGGCAGAGAGCCATCCTTCCTGAGCTAAGACAAAGATGTGTGAGCCAGAGGCTAAAAGACTGTGAGCTGGCTCACACTAAGTCAGCTTAAGGAGAACACTGGTCTCCTCCTGCTTAGCCTCCGAGATCTGGCAAGGGTGGGTTCTTAGGGCCCGTTTCAACCCTATACCAACTCTTCAAGAGAACAAACACCCTCAAGAATCCGCCAGCTCATGCCTTTCAGGCGACACTGAATGTCAGGTCGAGTTTGGGGCAGAAGTGGGGCTCCAGCCAGTGTTCCCTCTAAGCTGAGTTAGTGTGAGCCAGCTCACAGTTTTTTTAGCCTCCGGCTCACATGTTTTTTCTCAGCTCAGGAAGGATGGGGCACCAGAGCAAACTAATTTATGTAGCAGCCAAATCGCTCGCTCACAGCATTAATGCCAGGAGCTCACAAAGTAGAATTTTTGCTCACGAGACTCCACAGCTTAGAGGGAGCAATGGCTTCAGCTGTGACCAGAAAGGGGGGGCGGGTGGGGGTTCTGTGTTTCCCTAGCGGAAGCAGGTGGGGGGTGCACCTCTCTGCCCCACCCCTGGTGGCACTGCTCTTCATGAGCAGCCTGAGAGGTAGGCATACAGCAGTCGAAGCCTCAGCCTGTTGGATTTCTGCCTGTCCTGCCACAGGGAGGAGCTGAGGTTGTCAGGTCCCGCCAGCTACTGGTGCAGGGTGGGGAGGTTGGGTTTGCTAGATCCAGGCTGGGAAACTCCTGGAGATGTGGGGAGGACAGGGACTTCAATGGGGAACAATGCCCCAGAGCCCACCCTCCAAAGCAGCCATTTTCTCCAGGAGCTCTTTGTCTGGAGATGAACTGGAATTCCAGGGGATCTCCAGGTCCCACCTGGAGGCTGGCATCCCTCCAGAGAGCCGTGAGAAAGGAGTTACTCTTTCTTGGCTGCGCTGTGTGGTCCAGCTGGCTACACAGGAGCAAAACTGGAATTGTGTCCTAAGGGCTGCTGTGTAGTCAAAATCAAGGAACAGTTATGCAGTATCCATGATAAACCATGGTGGGAACCAGTTATATTTTTTCCCTTTCATTTTTATTCCTTTTAGTTCCATGCCTCAAAATCCTGATCAGCAAAGGACTGGGATTTGCAATCGTTGCTGGCTCACTCATGGGTACGTGCACGTAAACGTCCCCCTGCCAGAGCAGTCACTTGGACTGCGTCTGGAAAACCCTCTTTGGTTAGAGAGGCCGGCGGCAGGGCTCGGGGCTGACTTGAGAGGCTCAGAGGGAGAGGGGAAATTACCTGCCCCAGTTGAAGGGCACGGAAAACTAATATCTGAGGAAGTCTCCCTGCATTCCGTTTATGGAAACGTGCTTGTGACCCCCCTTCCCCTGTTGTTCATACCAAGTGTGACTTTGGAAGCCCCCCCCCCCCAAACCCAACAACTCTTTTGTTGTGCAACCACGAAAAGGGACTTTGTTCTTCTTAACAAAGATGGTCGGTTTCAGGAATTCTACTACCAGCAGTTCAAAATATACCTCAGGCACTGAGGCCAGATGCATCTGAGCCCCAAGTGTTTAATGTCTGGAGATCCTGGGGAGAATAACTCTGTCACGGTCCCCCACCGACATCTTAACGTTATCCCTTCATAGGCAAAGAGAAGGAAGCGATTTACCTTAGCCCAGGAGCAGCGAATCAGGCCCGTCTCCAGTGAACGGGGAGAGGCGGAGGGCAGGAGCCTTCCTTCAGGTTGAGCACGGGGGGGGGTCCCCCCAGGGGGCTCCTATCCTCAGATATGAGGCTGGACAGGAAATGGGAGTAGAGCTATTTCTTCCCTGGGGCAAAGCCTGCGGGACAGGATCCTAGGCCCTTTCTCCTCTAGAGGAGACCAATGAACCACGTTCACAGTTGGGTGGGAGCAGAGGTAGACGGAGCAAGGAAGGAAAGGGGGGGGTTGTCTGTCAGCACTGCTCTGTTTCTTCTCTTCCTCCCCCCCCCCCCCCCCCCGGCCCTGCAGTGAAGCTGCCCCAGATCTTCAAGATCACGGGGGCCAAGAGCGCCGAGGGGCTGAGCTTCCACTCCATCCTGCTGGAGCTCTTGGCCATCACAGGCACCATGACCTACAGCATCGCTAATGGCTTCCCTTTCAGGTAAGCGGGGGTCTGAGTCCCCCTCGCCCCACAGGACCGCAGACCCGGTGAGCGGCCCCTCTTGCCCACCCTCTCTCAGGGCACTCTCCCTGCATCTGTCCACGCAGCTCACAGTTGCCGCAAAAGGATGTTTTTGCATGCTCTCCCCCCACCCCCAGACCCTTCTCACCTATTGTGAGGGTCTCCAACCTTCCCGAGCCTGTCGATGCTTTTGGAATACTGAGAGGGGGTGGTGAGCTCCAGGCCGAAAGAGCTGCCATAAGAGGCGGGACCAAAACCAAAATAGCTGCCTGAGGAGGCGGGGCCAAACAGAACACCTCCCTCCTCACAGCTCCTGGGAGGAAGGGGCTGCTGAAGGAGGGACGGAGCCGCCCCCTGGCTAAGGGAAGGGAAGCTGCGCACCCGCCCTCCTCATCTGCCACTGGGGACCCCTTTTAATTTGGAAGAGGGCAGCCAGTAACAAGCCCTGCCTTGCAAGGGCCCAGCTCACTTGGTGAAAAGCTTAGCGGTCACCAAGGGAAGTATGGGCAGATGCCCATTGGCACCACATTGGGGGAACCCTGATCTCTCCTTTGGGGGGGGTCCCAACTGACCAGAAACCCTGGCCCCCAAGGGGGGAGGCCTGCTGCACCTCTCGCCTGCTTAGTAGCTCCTCTTGTTGTTGATATCTGGAGTGGGAGGGGTGTCTTGAGGAAGGGCGGCCATCAGGGGCTTCCAGGTTCTTCCGGGTTGCCCCCTTCCTGGAAAGAGACGCTTCCAGTGGACAACTGGGCAGGGTGGTGGTGGTGGTGGTATCCGTGGCGTCTGCCCTTGCAGGCTGCCCAGAAACAGCGGCTGTCCTTCCTCCCCTCCAGCTCCTGGGGTGAGGCCCTCTTCCTCATGCTGCAAACGGTGACCATAGGGTTCCTGGTGCAACATTTTGGGGGCCACACGGGACGCGGTAAGTGAAGGGGGGGGAGCGAGGTCAGCTGGCCCTTCTTTTTTTTTTTAATAAAGGTTTTATTGGCTCCCCTAAAAAGGGGAGGTATTTCGCTTAAAAGAAAAAAGGGAGGGGTAGACAGTGGGAGAAAGAGAAAGCTGAGTGATATATAAACTGGTAAATTAAACTGTTAGTAATGTCCAATTAATCTTCTTGGGCTTCTTCTGTGTGTTGCCAAACTTCTTTTCTTAGTCCTGTTACATGTATTCTCTGTTAGTATGTTAGTAATGTTCCTTTGAGATTCTGTTAATAAAAAGGGTCTCTTCTGTGCACATTCAGAACCGCTTCTTTGCGTGCTGGGTACTTTTACTATCGCTGGTAGAGGAGCTTCCTCTGTTGTCTTCTCCTTCCGGCTTGTTAGATCCTCCTTTGGGTTGTTGTTAATACGCTCAGTTCATGTACTATAAATCCTCTTCCTTTCATGCCCCGGAGGTCCCCATTTTCGAGAATGGTATCAATTTCATTTTCGCTTTTATATTCGCTCCCAGACTCTCTATGGGTCCTCCTCGCAATTGTTGACTTATAAGCGCTTATCAGGCACTTCTCGCTGTCACAATTCCAACTTATCTTTTTTGCAAAACTCCCGTCGGATTCACAGCCATAAACAGTCCAAACATTCAACAGCCGGCTCTTGCACACAAACAAATGCCCAGACGGAAGTCCCTCCCTTCTTCTCCGCTCACTTTTGCCCAGCTCCGACATCTTTTCTTTTTTGTTTACTTTTAAAAAGTTCTTAAAATGTGCTCCAGAGAGACAAGCTTCTCGCTTTCAAATACATCAAAGGAAAACATCACTGTCCGCTCAATTCATCCCCCCCCCTCCTTTTCTTTTGCGCTTGTATGGATGGAGGATTAACCTCTTCGCCTTTTTCGCTGGGAGGGGGGGGAAACAATTTTCAGTTCTTTTTCTCTGCATTTTGACAACTCACAGTTAAGCCGATCTTTTCTTTTTCTTTTCCACTTTTGCGGATGGTCGCTTTATCACTCGGTGACGTCTGGTGGCTCCGCTAAACCCCGTTCGGGGTCGCTCACGCAGCAAGGTCCATTGGGGCAGGGCATGGCGGGAGCCTCGCTCTCCGACCTCTCAGCCGAAAGAGCGACTCCCCCCTAGTGCACCCTAAAGCGCCCCCGGATCCGAGCTCCTCTCTTCTGAGGGGCTCGTTCGGGTCTCCGCTCGCGCGGATTCCCTCCTCCACCGCGGGCGGGCGAGGCGCCCTCGGGAGCGACCCGAGGAAGCATCCGCCATGCGCGGGAGCCAGACCGGAAGCCGCCCTTCTGATCTCCGTGTGCGGAGGCCGAGGGGGAGAGTCAGCTTGGGGGTGCCCGTGTGGTTTAGAGTTGGTATTTATTTTTCATGTGTTCATTAAAACATGTATGGCCTGCCTTTCCTCGTGGCTGAAGGTGGTTTATAATTTATTTACTATTAGTCATTGAAAAACATAAGAACATAAGAGATGCCAATGTTGGATCAGGCCAGTGGCCCCTCCAGCCCAACACTCTGTGTCACACAGTGGCCAAAAGTACCAGGTGCCCTCAGGAGGTCCAGCAGCGGGGCCAGGACACCAGAAGCCCTCCCACTGT